ACAGTTCCCAATGTTGTTTAGTGATGAAGCAATGTCGGGGTGTGGCGTTGTTTTGCCATAGATAGCTTTCCTCATCTTCAGTGACTGTTCGTGATAACTGATAGCTTTCCTCTGATCGCCAAGCTCACTCCAACATGCCCCAATGTTGTTTAGTGGTGAAGCAATGTCGGGGTGTACTGTTGTTTCACCATAGACAGCTTTCCTCATCTTCAGTGACTGTTCAAAATAATTGATAGCTTTCCTCTTACCACCAAGTTCACTCCAACATTTACCAACGTTGTTTAATGATGATGTGATGTTCGGATGTGGCGTTGTTTCACCATAATTAGATTTCATGATCTTCAGTGACTGTTCGTAATAACTGAGAGCTTTCCTCTGATCACCAAGGTCACTCCAACATGTCCCAATGTTGTTTAGTGATGAAGCAATGTCGGGATGTGGCGATGTTTCACCATAGATAGCTTTCTTCATCTTCAGTGACTGTTTATGATAACTGATAGCTTTCCTCTCATCACCAAGATCACTCCAACATACGGCAATGCCTGCAAGTAATGCAGCAATGTTGTGATGCACTTTGGTGTCTTCATAATTAGAGTTTCCAATACTTAGTGCCCGTTCGTAAAAGCTGATCGCTGTCTCATAGTCACCATGCATGTGCAAGACATTGCCTAATTCAAAAGTACTTCAAACTGCTTTCCTCATCACGCCCTTCTCTTCCAGTGCTGCCCCCAAGTGACGTCTGGATGCATCTAACTGCAACAGCTGTCGTGTTATTTTGCCTTTTGTTAGAGATGAAGTGTCAAAGATGGCTGTGGGGAAGATTTTTCTCACTGAACTTTCCTTTGCAACTGTATACACAATGCACGTTTTTAGTGGTATGGCAGTATAGTAGTATATGAACAGCATTTTTGAGTCTGATATGTAGAAGACTGACTCAACAAAAGTATCATCTACATTAAGTTTGTCCAGTTGGACTTTCATCTCCGTGAGAGGAGACAGTCTGTCCTTCTGTCCTCCGTTGGCAATGTACGTTCTTAACCGTAGCTCTGCTGAGATGCTGATCAGTACAGTCAAGTGGTGGGCATCTTCGTCACTGATCCGCTGTGTCTTGTGTAGCTCATTCCCCACACACTGGGGATCGTGATACCGCAGCAAATACTCAACAGATCAACGGCCACGCTGGGAAAACGGTAGATTTCTTTCTTCACATCCAGAAGTTGTCCCTTTGGTTTCACATCTTTTATCTGTCGAATATTATCCTCCAATATTAGCATTGCTGACAGCCGTGACAGAACAGGGGAACGCTCTACGCTTTTGTTGACTCTTTCCACATAATCATCCACCAAAGACTCGTCTCCTGTTAAGTAGGTCACCCGTCTGAGGATGTCTGACAGGTGATAGCCTTCCGCAAGGGCGATGTGCAGATGCTGATATTTGGCCAACTTGGCAGGAGTCTGGATGAGACTAACGGGAGGTTTGCTTTTGGTTTCGTCTCTTCCAAACGGAGTCTTGGAAGCCCATGGCATGAAGCCGTCGAAGGCGAAGCCGCGAGGTGTGACGGAGTCGAAGAACCAGTCTTTCTCTGGGTCATCTGAGAGAAAGTCGTTGAGTGACGGGATGGCCATGGCTGGGAGGATGGTTTCCCCAAAGTTGATGACTTTTAGATGTCAGTAGTGTGTGAGATTTAGGAAGTACCTCTGTGTATCATCATCATCATCCTTCCCCTCCTCAATCAGAATGGCGAACTCCAGGTCGGAGTATGGCGTCACCAGTTCTGTGGCCTGTGACCCCAACCCGATGAAAGCATACTTACAGGGAGGAGGTCCGAGTTTGGCGATGCATTCATCTGTCAGTACTTGGATCAACTCTCGTCTTCCAACTGTGATGCTCTTGAACAAGTTCTTGATTGCTTCAGCTCGTTTGATCTCTATCTCTCTCACGACGGGATCGTCTTCATCATACTGATAAGGGTTGTGTTCCTGATGAACTGTATCGAGCTGAGATTTTGCACGGGCGCGCGAGTTGTCCAGTTCCTTTTTGTGATCTAACGCGCTGCTATACGGACAAGGTTCACAGTTTAGGTTACAGGTGTTTCTAAGAAACTGCCTTTCGGTTTCTTGCAGTTTCGCTACCAAGTTTTGTTTGTCTCCATGTGTTCTGGCCATGGAGGCGTTATACAGAGCTGCCGCCTGTGTGAATTTCCTACCTTCTCCTGTCCGCTTACCTCGCTCGACGTAGATGTCACCCAACCTGCACAGACAGTCGGCTTCTCTCGACTTTTTGGGTTTACTGCGATCTGTAAGTAGAAGTGATCAAATCGATTCAAACATGTGCAGTTCTACTTCCCCTGATATTATGATTACAATTTAGGATGACAAACACTGAGGCCCTATTATTATTATTAACCTTATTATTAAGAGATCTTGTAGTTAGATCCTGTAGATAGAGAAATAGCACACAAATGTAACAATTGCTTCTTCTATTCTTGTACCCAAGTTATTTAACTTATTATATAATAAGTGCATTTGGCCCGTGTAGGGCGTGAACATGCAATAAAGTTGTCATTGTCATTATAATAAGTGAAATACCTTATGATTTTGATAGTCAATACAAAACAAAATCTTCCATGATGAAGAGAAAGCATGCTCTTTGAATAGTCAGTAAAAACTTATAACTTTTAATTATTAGATGGTGCTACTGTTCGCAAGTGTATGCATGTGCCCAAATGTATATCATAACAAACCATGCACAAGCTTCAGGGCGGCTGCTAGCACATTTTTTAACTTCAAATTATTAATAACTATGAATGGTGTTTGCAAAAAGGTGTATCAATAATAGGAACAAACCGTGAACCAGCTTCAGGGCAGCTGCTAGGTTCTGCTCTGCTGCGTCCAGGTCTCCATTTCCCACGTCACGGTCTGCCGCCTGGATGTACCTGCGGTAGGAGCTGAACAAGGAAACAAGTTTTGATTTTGAAACAAACATACTTCACAAAGGCGACAACTGCTGTACAAAAAAAGTGTTGCACAAAGTTGATAGTATGCCAAGTATCTGTTGTTACTGTCACATGAATCTGTACAACCTGTACAGCATTTAGCCAACATTATCATGTAAGTTTTTTTATTATTCATCAAATCATACATAAAACAATAACAAGGACAGTGTAGCGCTGCACTCAAGTTTTAAAACTCATTTCAACAGCGCCACTGAACAAAATACAATCAACAAATAAATACACAAAGTTGACATAACAGTGTGCCGAAGTCCCACCACCCCAAGACATTTTATAATATCTAGTTAGCTAACCAGGTTATAAAAAAGTTATTGCACAAAAGTGACATGTAACTTGTGTAATACATTTCCGGACATATTCTCCAATGTTGCCTTAATCATCGTTAGCACCCCTTTTACAAAACCTGATTTTTTCCAGGTTTGATATTATGCCATATTTCTCTGCAAAATTGTCCCAGATTCAGAGTTATTTGGATTTGAAACAATCAACAACCCTTAATACATTTGACAAGGACAGAAGAGGCACTAACATGTCGTCCTCCTCTTGACTGGTGGTTCCGTCGCTAGAGGGCGCAGATGAGAAGTGGCCCTCCCGTCCTCTCACGCCTTTCTGTGGTTGCGTACGTGTTGCCCTCTGCAAGAACTGATAGGATTGTAAGTAACTGATTTTAACAGGTTATCGATTGTACAAGTGAACTTTGACCAATGGTCAAGGGTTAAGGACACAATGTGGTCTGTGAAAGGTCATTTATGTTGCGTTAATGTTGACCTCTACAGGCCAGATATGAGGTGATTAACAGGTGGCCAATTGTGTTATTTGATGCACTATTGAACTTTGAGCAATGGTCAAAGGTAAAACTAAAAGACATGAGGTGAGACCTGAGACCAAAACAAACATGAATATTCACCGCTTTCTGTCCTCTCAAAGATTACTGAAATCTTAACTTTGTCAGCTAAAGTAAGACATATAATTATAATAGGGTGCAGATATCATTGTGCTAAAGTTCCTACTATAATCAGTCTAGAGGAAACTCACCAAGACTCATTTTTTCCTTGATTCCTACAAAAATGTTGCTTAGTTCACTCACCTTGTTTCTTGTTATGGTGACGTCTTGCCTGATTTTTGCGGTGTGCAGTAAGCGGTGAACAATGACAACTGTTCCATGAACGTTGTGACACCGCGCCAGTGCCCTGTTGTACAGAGCAGTAGCTCTGGTCAAGTTTCTAGTGTCTCCAGTTTCCGTTCCTCTTTTCAGGTACACGTCACCCAGGCTCTTGATCGCTTCTGTTTCTAACATGCTGTTGTCTTTTACTATTGCCTCTACCATCACCTGTGCGTATCCAAATAGCAAAGAGTCTGTGTTACCTCCGGTAGCCCGTCTCTTGTCCAGATCTTGAAACTTTGCCGCTACCTTTGCAGGCGTAGTCGTCTCCTTGTCTTCAGTTGGCTGTACCTTACCCTTTGACGACACCACTTGTAAAAGCCTCTCCGTGTAGCGGTAGCGGTGTTCTATACCATCTGCCTGTTCTTCATGGTAACACCATACCATAGCAGCCAGATAAAGCGCCAAGGCCGTGTTGAACTTCCCCACGTCCTTCCCGAGTCTTCCCTTCTCCACGTTCACGTCACCCAGAGTTTTGAGCAGCTCCACTTCCGCCAGCATGTCCGTGTCGGCCATGGCGTCCACCTGGGCACGGAGGTAGCCTGTCTCCGCCCGGGCTAGTCCGTACCTCCTGCCCTTCTCGTCCGCCTCGCGGAGTTTCTCACACACCCGCAACATGGCGGACACTTGCTAGGAAAAGACAATGCCTCTAGAACACCCTTATCTTCCCTAGCTCTGGTGTTAGGTTTAAGCACCTGACTTGAACAAACACAGGCTTCACACTGCTTGTGTCAACATTACATCATCCAAGCTAAGGGTCCAGTACTCCACAAATAGTCATAAATAAATAGTCATAAGTCTGGTTATGTCCTGCCGAGACCAAGCATAGATGGACCCTGAGATAACTGGGGTGGGGTCGTGTGGCGCAACGGCAGCGTGCGCGACTCGGAACCAAGAGGTCCCGGGTTCGAGTCCTGACATGCCGCCGATCTTGTGCCCTTGACAAAGGCACTTTACACGACTTTCCCCACTAGACTCAAGTGAAAATGAGTATTGTCTGTCCAGTATATATTTGTTTATATGTGCAGGACACAAAACCAGCAACAGCTGCCTGTGTTTCACGTGTATTGCACTGTTGCGATTTCAATAAATCAAATAAAAATAAATAAAATAACTAATCAGTACACAGACTCACCAAATATGTTTACTGTGCACATAGGAGCCCAGACGCAGGTTGATTTTCAGAATATTTATAATTTTTCCTGACAGCACAGCAGTCCACAACTAACTGTGCATATTGCTTACAACTTATATGCAGTAAATTATTTTGCGCCAACTTTTGTGGCAAATTACACGTTAAGTAAACTAGTAGTCAGTAACATGTCACCTTTTGTATGGAAATTACAGGGATACTCAGTAATGCATCACCTTTCATTCATAAAAAACTTCATGTTTCCTATGAAAATTACACAATACTCAGTAAAGCATGAATGTTGGGAAACAACTTTAACGCTGAATGCCTGTTGAAATTTGGGCCAAATTTTAAAATATCTATTATTATATAATAGATAAAGATACTGTAAAGAATTAAGTCAATACACTTGTAAGTACACCGGTTTGTAATAATACAAAATGTCATTTTAAATATTTACAAAATGTCATTTTAAATATTTACTTGAAATCATTTTAAAAACGGCCAACAACATCTGCGAGTTAGAGTAGCCTTCAAGTTGTATACTAGTGAATGCATTTTCGCAATGGCTCATGCTAATGTACTGTAATTCCTGATTTTTTTTTCTGATATGTTCACTGTTTTCACTGTCACTTTTGTACGGTGAACTTATCATTACAGATAACAAATAATTCCTGGACTTTCTTTTTCCTGCACCTGTCGCCACCGTGAATATATAGTTCCATGAACATTTCTCAGACGGTGAACTTTTGCTATCATGAACATAAAGTGAATTACAAGTAACGTTATATACCGTGGTGTAGTGGACTGTATTCTCGCCCTGCTATAGTGTAGTTTCGTGTTCTGTCAGCATGGGCCGACCGGCTTCGTCGGTCTGGCTGCCAGGTGAAGTCGCGCCTCCCGTTTCTGTGCTGGTGTCATCAGGAGTTGGCATCTGATTCTGCTGAAGGGAAGAAAATGGTAACAGATTTCTGTGTTAAGTGTGCAAAAACTTTTTTAACAGAAAAGTTTAATCTGCGAAGCTTTCCGGAGAAAATATATTAAAAAAACCTAAGCTGGTGTGTTACGCCGAAGGGCTGTTATACCGGCTATACAGATACAGAAGCTGGTGTGTTACTCGGAAGGGTGGTTCTACCGGCTATGCAGATACAGAAGCTGGTGTGTTACGCGGAAGGGTGGTTATACCGGCTATACAAATACAGATACAAAACATAGTTACCAGTCTTCGCCTGATGATGAGAAAGCCGAGAGCAACCACAGCTACCTCAGCCAGAAACCCCGTCAGCAGGGCTGCTATCCCCATGTCTGCACCACGTATACTGGCAAACAATGGGACATATAGTCACTCACTCTCTCCCACTGCATGGGACAGCAGTCAGGTACAGAACATGGTGAGTTTCTTCTTTGTGTTAGAACAAGTTCAAACTGTATAACTATCCTTTAGTTCTGTTTGATACTTACTGCAGCTTGGGGAGGACCACCAGGGCCGTAACCAAGGCAACCGTGCGGACTATGGCGCTGGGCGTGAGGATCCACGTTCTCTTCTGCACCATCAGCCAGCTGGACAGGAACGCTCTAACCCCCACTGTAACACACATGTACACCATCAGCCACACATGTACACCATCAGCCACACATGTACACCATCAGCCGCACATGTACACCATTAGCTACACATGTACACCATCAGCCACACGTGTGCACCATCAGCCACACGTGTACACAATCAGCCACACAATGTACACCATCAGCCACACATGTACACCATTAGCTACACATGTACTCCATCAGCCATACGTGTGCACCATCAGCCACACATGTACACCATCAGCCACACATGTACACCATCAGCCAGCTGGACAGGAACGCTCTAACCCCCACTGTAACACACTTGTACACCATCAACCACACATGTACACCATCAGCCATATTGTTCACCATCAGCCACACATGTACACCATCAGCCAGCTGGACAGGAACGCTCTAACCCCCACTGTAACACACGTGTACACCATCAACCACACATGTACACCATCAGCCACACATGTTCACCATCAGCCAGCTGGACAGGAACGCTCTAACCCCCACTGTAACAAACATGTACACCATCAGCCACACATGTGCACCATCAGCCACACATGTACACCATCAGCCACACATGTGCACCATCAATGAGTGAAGAGACTCTTTTTACACCTGTAGCAGCGACACCTGTGCTGCAGTGCAAAGTGAACCAGGCAGAATTGCCCTGAAGAAGGTAACAGGCGGTCACCAAAACATTGGCTGTGAATAAAACACTTGGTTGTGGAAAAAAGTAGTCTCTTTACCCCAGTGCCTTACCAACCTGATTAAACCATTCACAGTATGACTATAGTATATTACTCACTCAAAATAAGGTTTCTAATTTAATTAATCGCTGAGGACGTACCTGGTACGGCGACGAATGCGAAGATCTGCAGCGGTTTTTGGCAGAGCCGGGCGATGTTTGCGCTGGTCTCGATCCAGCCGGTCATGATGGCAAAGGTGATGCCAGGAACGTAGAACACAACTAACGCGACCTGTAATTATAACAGTTGGGGAAGCGTTACAGTAACGACACCTGTAATTATAACATTAGGGAGGAGTTACACTAACGACCTCAGATATAATTATAACGTTAGGGAAGCGTCACATTAACGCCAGCTGTAATTATAACATTAGGGAAGAGTTACACTAACGCCACCTGTAATTATAACGTTAGGGAAGAGTTACAGTAACGACCTCAGATATAATTATAACGTTAGGGAAGCGTCACATTAACGCCAGCTGTAATTATAACGTTAGGGAAGCGTCACATTAACGCCAGCTGTAATTATAACGTTAGGGAAGAGTTACAGTAATGACATCTATAATTATAACGTAAGGGAAGCGTCACATTAATGCCACCTGTAATGATAATGTTACATTAGCATCACACAAACAACACCTGTAAAGTAACATTACGTTAGAGTCACACTAACAGTAACACCCCTGTGGTGGTCAGGAAGGAGAAATATCACACTACAAAAGAAACCCAGAGTCAAATAGAAACAGAGCAAGAATTCTATCTGTGCTATAGAGTACCCAACGTAAGGACCAGCAGGTTAAAAAGTACCCACCGTAAGGACCAGCAGGTTAAAAAGTACCCACCGTAAGAACCAGCAGGAGACAGGCGAGGGCAAACTTGCTGAGTGTGAGCCACGGGATGACACGGCGGCCCTGGCCTCTCTGTGGGGAGAAAACAGTGGGGATTTTTCACACCTCAGGGCTTAAAATACCCGGTGCATGACGTGCGCCTTAGTGCACCCACAATTGGAGCTGTGCACATAAATTTTTTTCCTGTGGGCGCACCAGTGCATAACACAGTGCATAACAGTGATAATACAGGTATAAAAGTGATAACACAGTGATAACAGTGATAACAATGATAACACAGTGATAACACAGTGATAACACAGTAACAACAATGATAACACAGTGATAACAGTGATAACACAGTGATAATACAGTGATAACACAGTGATAATACAGTGATAATACAGTGATAACACAGTGATAATACTCTGATAACGCAGTGATAACAGTGATAACACGGTGATAACTGATGACACAGTGATAATACAGTGATAACAGTGATAATACAGTGATAACACAGTGATAATACAGTGATAATAACAGTGATAACACAGTGATAATAACAGTGATAACACAGTGATAACACAGTGATAACAGTGATAACACAGTGATAACAGTGATAACAGTGATAACACGGTGATAACAGTGATAACACGGTGATAACACAGTGATAACACAGTGATAACACAGTGATAATAACAGTGATAACACAGTGATAATAACAGTGATAACACAGTGATAACACAGTGATAACAGTGATAACACAGTGATAACACAGTGATAACAGTGATAACACTGATAATACAGGTATAACACAGTGATAACGGTGATAACACGGTGATAATACAGTGATAACACAATGATAACAGTGATAACACAGTGATAACAGTGATAACACAGTGATAACACAGTAATAACAGTGATAACACAGTGATAACAGTGATAATACAGTGATAAGTGATAACACCATGATAACAGTGATAACACAGTGATAACAGTGATAACACAGTGATAACAGTGATAACAGTGATAACACGGTGATAACACAGTGATAACGGTGATAACACGGTGATAATACAGTGATAACACAATGATAACAGTGATAACACAGTGATAACAGTGATAACACAGTGATAACAGTGATAACAGTGATAACACGGTGATAACAGTGATAACACGGTGATAACACAGTGATAACACAGTGATAACACAGTGATAACACGGTGATAACAGTGATAACAGTGATAACACAGTGATAACACAGTGATAACACAGTGATAACACGGTGATAACAGTGATAACACATTGATAACAGTAGTTAACACAGTGATAAGGACTGACTTTTCTGAAGGCGGGAACCACGGACTTCATCTCGTTCAGGCAGGAGTACGGCATGTGGCCGATGGGATACACAACTGTCAGAACTGCAACCGCCTGGAAAGGGAGTCACTTAATGTATCAGTCCAGTCCAGAATGGTTGGCCAAATTTGATATATACATAAGACATGCTTATACTTCAGAAGTCATAATGGTGAAAAAGGACATAATTATTTGTTTGTTTGTTTGTTTGTCTGTTTGTCATTGCCACCCCATTCCCAACAAGGCTCTCACCTCCACCGCAGCACTCCCGCCGAGGTCCCGCGCCACCAGCAGGTTGATGATGGGTCTGCTGAGTTTGTTGCAGACCGTCACCAGGGCCAGCGGCCACCAGAACTTCAGCGCTCTCACAACCGTGAAACTCTCCTAAAAATAACAGTTACAACTGTATTTTTCTGTTAAACATTTACAACTGCAAAGTTTTTCTCAGAGGCCACCAGAACTTCAGCACTCTCACAACCGTGAAACTCTCCTAAAAATAACAGTTACAACTGTATTTTTCTGTTAAACATTTACAACTTACAACAAGTTTTTCTCCAAAACAACGTTTGCAACCATAAAGCTGTCTTGCAAAACCAAATTTACAATGTTACTGTGAGGTTTTTGGCAAAACAACATTATTTTACAACCGTGAAGTTTTTCCGCAAAACCAAATTCACATTGTTTTTGTCTCAGCTCTCTCTGGAGACTAGGGCTACCTCATTAAACTTCTCATCCTAGTTGCTTTCATACACTTTAAGACTGCATCATGAGTCTTACAAGGATCTGCCTACCTTCTCAGCCAATGGCTGGGCCTGTTTTATCTTCGGCCGGACTTTGTAGAGGAAGCCGGCTAGGATGATGGAGAGTCGCACCAACAGGGCGGCGTACTGCGCCAGGATGGGGATCAGGATCGGGTCCCAGGACTGCAGGGCCGACTCCATCAGGGACAGGGACAGGACAACCTGGTACACACAAACAAACAAACATCAGGGACAGGACAACCTGGTACAAACAAACAAACATCAGGGTCAGGACAACCTGGTACACACAAACAAACAAACAAACATCAGGGACACGACAACCTGGTACACACAAACAAACAAACATCAGGGACAGGACAACCTGGTACACACAAACAAACAAACAAACATCAGGGACAGGACAACCTGGTACACACAAACAAACAAACAAACATCAGGGACAGGACAACCTGGTACAAACAAACAAACAAACATCAGGGTCAGGACAACCTGGTACAAACAAACAAACATCAGGGTCAGGGACAGGACAACCTGGTACACACAAACAAACATCAACTATAATCAGCTATAATCATGCACAAACGGCCACATGTCTGACTACCATCAGGCCCAGGGACAACCTGAGAGAACAAGTGCATCATAAGTTACTACATGTGTACCTCAGGCTGTCTACAGACGGCAATCTTAGGGAGCAAATTCTGTATATTATGTAGGACTGTGTCTAGAAACGAAAGTCTGAGGGAACGAGTACATCATGACATTGTATTTGCAACTGTATATCATGATTTAGCTCTAAATTTAAAACTAAGGTCTAAAATATACCTACCTGAGCGCAGCAATCTGAGATGAAGGAAACGGCCACTATCAGGGAGTGGTGGTACTGCAGCAGCATCCCAACAAACACGAAGGACTGCACAGAACAAGAGGTACACGCGTTCATTCTCATGTCATCAGAAACAATTATGAAAGCAAGAATTATATTGTCAAAGCTGAGTTTTAATGAGACTTGATGCAGTAGTGCGGCATGATGTGTAATCAAGAGCTTTTCTTTCTACTACGCAAATTAACTCATCTACTGTTATCAATATCATTTTGTAAAATATAGGATAGATACCCCCTGTAGTGTTGTTGTTTAAAAGTTGTTGCCAGACATTAAACCATGTCCGATTGTGAAGAAAAAAACTTCATCCCTCTACGTCAATGAAGATTAGACATCCAGGTGATACGATACGCCAAAAGCAGTTACTCAAGCAACTGGATATGATTTTGGAAACGGTCAGACGTTTCAGCTAGTATCCACTAACTTTCGTCAGTAACTGAGAGACCAGAGGGGAAATGCAGGTTTATAAGCACAAACTATTGATTGATATGCAAATAAAGTGAAGACAATTTTTTGGAAGTCAAAAAAGGAACAAAAGTCAGACAAGTCAAGACAAGATAATGCAAATTAGTCAGAAAGCTCCTGTTATCCTGTCATCCCTCTAATCTGAACGGATGTGAAAAAGCGCCCCCTAGCCTTACCAGTCCGTCCAGCAGTGGGAAGCCCCCGAGGAACAGCATGGCCCTCCTGCTGCCTGCTCCAACCACACTGTCCACCTGGTGGGCTTTCTCTATCAGCAGGAGTCCTAGGGGGGTTAGACCTGCAGGGGGGTACAGAACAGGGGGGTTAGGCCTGCAGGGGGGTACAGAACAGGGGGGATAGGCCTGCAGGGGGTACAGAACAGGGGGGTTAGGGCTACAGGGGGTACACAACAGGGGGTTAGGCCTGCAGGGGGTACACAAAGGTGACCATGAGAACTTACCGATGAGTAAGTGGCCATGAGAACTTACCGATGAGTAAGTGGCCATGAGAACTTACCGATGAGTATGTGAATGACGGCCACCACCAGCCCCATGACCACCGTGAGTGCGACCGCCCGCTGACCGTCCGCGGCTTGGTGGACCAGGATCAGCCCGATGTGCCGCGTCTGCTGCAGCCCGCCGCCCATGAACTTGGTGAGGGAGAACGCCAGCCCGTAGCTCGCTGTCACGTTCTCGGAGAAGGCGATGCTGCGACTGAGCGCCTGTGGTAATGTAAGAGGTGCCAGGGTTACGAAAGGCAGGGTTTACTTATCGTGAGGGGATAACACACACACACGCGCGCGCGCGCACACACACACACACACACACACATGCGCGCGCACACACACACACACACGCACACACACACACACAGACTCGCTCACACATACACACACACACACACAGTCACACACACACATGCGCGCACACACACACACACACACACACCTTACACACACACACACACGCACACACACACACACACACGCACACACACACACACACACACACACACACACACAGTCACACACACACATGCGCGCGCACACACACACACACACACACACTCACACACACAGATTACCTGGTCCGCTATATCCGGTGCTATAGTAATAAACGCCAGCGGAACCATGAACCTGACCAGGCGCCAGTAGTCCCCCATGGAGTCCCCCATGTAGATCTGTCAGTCTAGTCCGCCGTGCTCTGGGAACGAGACGGGGTCACGCAGAGGACAACTCTCGGAGACTGACGGGACGGAGTCCTTCACGGTAGAGTAGAGAACTTGAGGCTTCGGTCGGGTCGGACGTCTGCCCTGTAGTGTTGTTAATAATAACGAGCCAAGACTGACTCTGATCTGCCGTTTTGCAGTCCCATATATCAGACTATTTCACCGGCCGGTGTATTGCGGCTGATTGCATGATGACCTCATGACGCAATATTCGCCTGATTTTGCGCGCCCCTGACAGTCACAAGTTCCCCCGGTTCACGGTGACGTACTGCTGAGGGCACTGTGGAGTTTCAGACTTTGAGTTCAATGTCCTGAAACGTAGCACAGTTTGCTTTTGCCGCGCAGTCTCAACGTCAAAACAAGCCGCTCCCGGCAGGACAGATCACACGGGAGTTTGGGCGTTTATGTTATGCTCAAAAGACTTCAGAAATAAACAAAACATTCGCCTTACAAACTTGCAAGTTGCCGGTTAAACCGCGTCCGGGTGTAGGTCGATTGTATGATGGAAATCTGCTCTTACTTTAGACCTTTCCCTTCATGTTGGTAATCATTAACCACGATGTCGTCAGCTGTTTGGGGTCAAAAGGTCAGCGTCCTGTAGCACAGTGACCAACTACCCTTGTGTTAAGACTACAGAATCGGCCTAACGTGTGAACTCTTATAAAAGAATTACGCTGTAGTCAACAAGGAAGACACGGGTTTGGCCACGAGATTTGTAACGGGTACCTGAAATATTAATCCGTGATAGAATTGTTTTAAATATTGAGGAAAATGATTTGTTTTATGCTTTTATATTGTGAATTGTATAACAGTGCTGACGAAATGAATGTTACTGTTGAATATTTGTATCAAAGGAACCTGCAATTCAGCCAATAGACTGTAAGCGATTCTTATTTTGAATAAATCATTCATTCATTCATTCATTCATTCATAAACCTAATGATTCATTCATTCACCCATTCATGACTTTACTTTCCAGTGAAGGTTCAACACTGGTAATTTAGCCATCAAAGGCCAGTGTACGGTTACAAAAACCACCAGCAAGTGTGCGGAAAGATGGTATTACTGATTTGAGACATTATGGATACTGTAGATGAGAAGGTTATGTTTAGGGGAGCGTGTGCAGGCTTCGATATTAACTTTTACTCCTATTGTCCCTGAGCACTGTCCCAAAATTAAATTTTAATTGTCCCGAAGTGAGGATGAACTGTCCCAACCTGTTTTTTGGGAAGTATTGTGTGACTTAAAGTCAACTTTAGTTTGTTCACTCCCAGGCACACTTTAATTGCAGAGAAGACACTCACTGACAGGTTATTCGGGTGGACTTTTGCCTGATAAACAGAAGAAGGGCTGACATTCTGGTATTGTTCTATTGTCCAAAAATGTCCCAAAGTGTCTTTAAAGTAAAAAAAAACTGTTGTCCCAGCTTATATTAGTAGTCAGTGGCCATTGGGCCACCTTTGATTTTGAGCCCTGCTGTGTCTCAGTTTCATTTAAACGTTAAAATTATTTGTACTTAGTTACTATGAGATCTCCGAACTCTAGAATTGTGGATGAAATACAGACAAGAAGCCTGATATCAAAGGTCATCCATCTTTTAGTACAAGCGAGATTTTGTGCAAAAGTTACAATAACAACGTTACATTGCATTTGGGATTCAAACTTTAAGTTCTAAAACCCTGACTTGAACATCAAACATGTTCCATCCCACAGGCCTTGTTACCTTAATGCACAATTTATATTTACTATGATCCATTTACATTATTTTATGTATATATAATATACAGTTTTTTGTACCTAGTGATAATGATTGCACCAGTCTTTTTCACTTTTTTCTTTGCTCCCTGAGCAAAAATACATTGGATTACATGTACATCGATGTAGCACGTTCTAAGCAGATGTATGTGACTTGTGTCATACAGATGTTTCCCTTTCTACAGGACTGAGCAGCTCTTCTCTAATCTCCTCCACACTTGGTGACCCTGATGACCTCTCAACCTCCTCACTCTCCTTCAGCTCCTCCTTTGCTCTCTGCAGGACAAAAAAAAACGTGGGTATGGGCATGCAGCAACTAGAAAAGCAAATGCATAATGGAGATAAAGCTCAACAAACTACCGCTCTGTCTATTCTTTAATACTCAACACATATAACATACAGTCATGTACTGTATATGGTGACTAGCCCCTCCAGCTCTGTATATAATGTGACCCAACACCACAGGGTGTCTGCTACAGCACCAGTTACCATAATGACAGTCATCTGGTCCAGGTCATTGACCTTATTTGTTTAGAGAAGAAGAAGAAAGAGAGCAAAAACAATTTATATGTTTTCCGTATGTAAGGAAAAAAGATGTCTTATTAAGAACCGAACGTACGATATTTCTCCTGATGAAGAAGAATCCGATGATGACGACCACCGTTTCGGCCCAAAACCCAGTCAGCAGGGCCGCCACCCCCATCCTCCCTCCGCGCACACTGGACAGGACAACATGAGGACATGTTTTTTTTGTTTAAAGTTAAAACTTTTGATCCAACATAAAAGTTCTCTCACCTAGAGCTTTCGACCAGTCACTGTGGTCTTCCTCAGTAGACTGACCCAGTGAGGCTTGTCACGTGGCTTCTTTGAAGTGTGACGTCAACACTGGGTCAACGGTATCTGGTACATGATGACATGTTTGTATATCTGTGTGTCTGTAGCCACGCCCATCCTGCCTCCGCGGACACCGTGGACAACATGACAGGGTCAAGTTTGCTTGTATGTTTGTGTGGGGGCCCGCAAGCCCTTTTCCGTAGAGCGTAATCGGCCATTTTAATTCTACATAGAGCGTAGACGGGCCGCTCTAAAATTTTGCGTAGAGCGTATTTGCCATTTTAATCCTACGTAATGCGTTGTAGCCACTTGGAATTTATCGTAAAGCGTAATCGAGAGGTTTCCGAATTCAGCGTAGAGCGCTGTCGGGACCCCCCCTTGCAGGCCCTCTTGTGTGTCTGTAGCCATGCCCATCCTGCCTCCACATACACTGGACAGGACAAAGGGCAACAAGTTTGTTCGTATGTTTGTTTGTGTGTTCAAATAGCCTCATTAACCCCTACTCTCATAAATAAGAGTGGTAGGTAATCTTTTTAGACTTTACCACTAATGCTTTACATCCCATAACTGTAACAACCTTTCCATGAAGCATGTCAGTAGTCAGATTTCAGAACTTAAGTGTCAAGAGCTGTGTCTCAGGGGCAAATCTACATTCTTGGATATGCAGACACTATCCAGAATGGTGCCTAGTTCTAACCCTAACCCATTCAGGGACAGTTCTGGAAATGATAGGCAAAAACACAAAAGTATTATTATGCTCTCACTCTGGTACCAGCTGCTTTAATATAAACTCTAACTCTGCTTACCCAGCTTTGGGGAGAACTATGAGTGACACAATCAGCGCGATCAGCCTAAGCACACAGCTGAGGGACAGGATCCACGTCCGCTTGTACACCATCAGCCAGCTCGTCAGGTGTGCGCGGATGGTCACTGTAAAACACACATGTACACCATCAGCTAACCTGTCACACTGTAAAACACATGTACACCATCAGCCAACCTGTCACACTGTAAACACATGTACACCATCAGCCAACCTACACACATGTACACCATCAGCCAACCTGTCACACTGTAAAACACACATGTACACCATCAGCCCTGTACACACATGTACACCATCAGCCAGCTGGTCAGGTGTGTGCGAATGGTCACTGTAAAACACATGTACACCATCAGCCAGCTGGTCAGGTGTGCACGGATGGTCACTGTAAAACACACATGTACACCATCAGCCAGCTGGTCAGATGTGCGCGGATGGTCACTGTAAAACACACATGTACACCATCAGCCCTGTATGTATGTACACCATCAGCCAGCCTGTCACACTGTAAAACACACATGTACACCATCAGCCAACCTGTCACACTGTAAAACACACATGTACACCATCAGCCAACCTGTCACACTGTAAAACACAAATGTACACCATCAGCCCTGTACACACATGTACACCATCAGCCAGCCTGTCACACTGTAAAACACACATGTACACCATCAGCCCTGTACACACATGTACACCATTAGCCAGCTTGTCAGGTGTGCGCGGATGGTCACTGAAAAACACACATGTACACCATCAGCTAACCTGTCACACTGTAAAACACAAATGTACACCATCAGCCCTGTACACACATGTACACCATCAGCCAGCTGGTCAGGTGTGCGCGGATGGTCACTGTAAAACACACATGTACACCATCAGCCCTGTACACACATGTACACCATTAGCCAGCTTGTCAGGTGTGCGCGGATGGTCACTGAAAAACACACATGTACACCATCAGCTAACCTGTCACACTGTAAAACACAAATGTACACCATCAGCCCTGTACACACATGTACACCATCAGCCAGCTGGTCAGGTGTGCGCGGATGGTCACTGTAAAGTACACAATCATGTTGAGTCAGAACAAGCTTCACTCGTCAACAATGTTAGCCTTCAGCCAGAGGACATTTCAAGTGGGGTCGTGTGGCGTAGCGGCAGAGTGCTCAATTCGGAACCAAGAGGTCCCGGGTTCGAGTCCTGACATGCCACCGATCTTGTGCCTTGGGAAAGGCACTTTACACGACTTTCCTCACTTTGCTCAGGTGAAAATGAGTATTGTATTGTCCCCTTCATTGGTGGTGGCATTGATATATTAAAGTTGAAAAAACTTGAGTGTGCCATCACCACATCTTGTGATTAAATGTTGGAATATAAAAAAAAATGTTAGCCACCAGCACAGAGGAGATTTCCTGTAAAGCGCAAACCTGGGATCCCGAAGAAGGCGAATATCCTGAGCGGTTCGCGGCACATTCGGGCGATCTCGGGTCCGGCCTCGATCCACACAGTCATCAGCCAGAAACTCACGCCCGGCACGAAGAACAGCAACAGCGACACCTGGCAGACACAAAGGGAACAACAGTCATCTCCAAGCAGATGTTAGGGTGGCAAAATCGTAATCAACCAGCAGGCAGTGGCCCTTAGCGACTGTTCTAACATCTGTTTAGAGATTAGAAAACATATCAACAACTAGAAAAGTAACATTTGCAAAGCAAATGCATAATGTTTGCCTTCGGATATGGTCTGCTCTGTTAATTCTTACTCATTCACATTCACATATACATGTATATGATGACAGGAGTCTAAATGCCTACTATGAAATTGCCACATTGCGTAACCCGACACCAGTTACTATGGTGACAGACGTAAACAAAAGGGGCCATTGGCCAGGTCAGAGGTTAGTATTTGGAACAGAAGAAGAAATGGAGCAAAAACAATATGTTTTCCTTCGGTAAACATAATAATCAAATAATTATGTGACGCTAATGTTACCTGAATTACGACTACTAGGGTCTTGTACAGAAGTAATTTATTATCTTAACTAACTTTTTTTTTGCTTTCTCCAATTTCTTTCACCTTTTACAAAAAAAAAAGTTGGGTCTTAAAAACAAACAGCCTTACTCACCACCAGGACTAGCAGGAAACAAAAGACGGCAAACTTCCTTAACGTTGACCAAGGCACGATGTGACCTCCTTTCTGAAAAATCAGCAGTATATATTCAATCATTATATTATAATAAACTTCAGAATGGAACAAGACGTCAGGAATGAAAATGAAGTGACACATTAGTAAGTGCTGATTGATAACTTAGCAGAGTAAAAATGGACTCAGTCACATGCCCAGATTTATGATGAATTGAGCAGATTTTTGGCACAGTCGTCTGTGTGTGGTAACGCTGCCTGAGCTATACTCACAAACAGCTGTTATTAGGGCCTGTTTCAGTTCAGTCATAGACTCGCTTCAGATTCTACCACGTGACAAGCCTCACTGGGTCAGTCTACTGAGGAAGACCAGAGTCACTGGTCGAAAGTTCTGGGTGAGAGAACTTCTTTGTGTTGGATCTAAAATTTAAACTTTAAACAACATTGTGAAGTCATCACACTGACCTTTCTAAAGGCGGGTCCCACCAGTCTGAGATCGTTCAGCCAGGAGTACGGCAGGTGCCCAACAGGGTACGTCAACGTTAGCACAGCCACTGCCTGGTGGAGGAAACAAGCATGGCTACAGTTATACACAGGGTACGTCAACGTTAGCACAGCCACTGCCTGGTGGAGGAAACAAGCATGGAACCAGATGTATACAAGCATGAAACAGGGAAGGTTTTGAGTTATAACAACGTTAGTCACATGGGAAAGGGGGCCTGCAAAACCTTTTCCGTAGAGCGTAATCGTCCGTTTTAATTCTACGTAGAGCGTAGATGGACCGCTCTAAAATTTTTGCGTAGAGCGTATTCGGCGTTTTAATTCTACGTAATGCGTCATAAAGCGTAATCGAGAGGTTTCTGAATTCAGCGTAGAGCGTTGACCCCCCCTTGCAGGCCCTCAATAATCAAAGCCAGGATATGTATGTATGTGACTCACGTCCACGGCGGCTTGTCCCCCCAGATCACGTGACATCAGCAGGTTGCACACCGGCCGGCTGATCTTCTGCGTCGCGGCCACCATCGCCAGCGGCCACCAGAACTTCAGCGCTCGCAGCACAGTAAAACTCTCCTTCGCTTCCTGGGGCTGCAGCTGGGCCATCCTGGGGAGGACCTGAGAGAGAGGAAGTGAGAGAGTGAGAGAGAGAGAGAGAGAGAGTGTGTGTGTGTGAGAGAGAGAGTGAGAGAGAGAGCCTCAGAGAGAGTGTGTGTGAGAGAGAGAGAGAGTGAGAGAGAGAGCCTCAGAGAGAGAGAGTGTGTGTGAGAGAGAGAGAGAGCCTCAGAGAGAGAGAGTGTGTGAGAGAGAGAGAGTGAGAGAGAGAGCCTCAGAGAGAGAGAGAGCCTCAGAGAGAGAGAGAGAGCCTCAGAGAGAGTGTGTGAGAGAGAGCCTCAGAGAGAGTGTGAGAGAGTGTGTGTGAGAGAGAGAGAGAGTGAGAGAGCCTCAGAGAGAGTGTGAGAGAGTGTGTGTGAGAGAGAGAGTGAGAGAGAGAGAGAGTGTGTGTGAGAGAGAGGATCAGAGAGTGTGAGAGAGAGAGTGTGTGTGAGAGAGAGAGAGAGAGTGAGAGAGAGAGAGAGAGAGAGAGCCTCAGAGAGACAGAGTTACACCAGAACTGAGCGCTCGCAGCACTGTGACAGTAAAGCTCTCCTTCGCTTCCTGGGGCTGTAGCTGTTTCATCCGTGGGAGCACCTTTGATAGAATTATTGTGTTATTTATTAAATTTGTTCATAATCATACATGTTTGAAAAAGAGAGAAGAGATCCAGTAGATATAGAACTGATGTATTCATAGCACAGCAATATAACAATTGTTCCTTGTATTCTTGTACCTTAATAGCTAACTTAGTGCATTTGGCCCATGTTGGCCGTGAATATGCAATAAAGTTCAGAGTCATAGTCATTATGAGAAGTAAAGGCAAAGAGAAGCTATCGATGATGTTTGAATTTTACAATGTATCTAAGAGGACTCCAGGAAGAGTTGACTGTGATAATAATTATGTATTTGTCACTAACTTTGAAGGTTCTTTAAATAAACAAGAATTCCGAGATTTCATACCTCCATGAAATATGGGCTTGATATGTAAATGTGCCTGCAGTTACAGAACAAGCTGCTAGGGGGACCAAACTCACACCACTTATTCCTGACAGGAAAAGCAATCTGTCATGAAAACATCAAGACCATAGCATGTTCAGGACAAAAGATACAAAAACCGGAAGTTCTGCTGCAGTACCAAGGTCATCCACCAGGAGGCCCATATTTGACCTTGACGTTTGTCTTCCTAAGACTTACCAACATACCAAATATCACCATAATCCATAAAGGCGTTCTGAA